TTCCTGCAGCAAGGTAGCTGGGGTGAGGACCGTGCTTTTAGCTAGTGTTTAGGTGTCTGAGCTGGAGGGCATAGAGAGTGGGGCTTGTAAACCTTGGGTCGAGGCAGGTCCATGATCTCAGAGCCTGCGGGAATCGAGCAGTGCCAGGCTGTGTTCATACAGCAGCAAATGTAAATGCACACGTACAGAGAGCTACTTTTCCTTCTAAATTTTTCTCTGGGCTGCTGCAGAGCAATTTTTTTGATGAGGATATCTCCAGCAGCCAGGATTCCTTTGGCCACGCTGGGGAAGCAGGAACAGGGGTGGGTTTTTTGATGTGGGGTGAAAGATCTGCTGTCTCCTGGGAGTGGTGGCTTGTGGGGTGGGGGCATCTCGGTTAAACTCGGGAGCCTCAGGGTTTGTGCTTGTTAATGGGAAGGAATTTGGTGACATTTCCAGCGGGAGAACTGTGAATGTCAGTGCAGGGGTTGTTGGCCTTCTCCAGAACAACTTACCTGACTTTAGCTGCCGTGTTTGATAGAGATGAGATCAGGCTGGAGCAAGTGCGAGACAAGGCTGCTAAACCTGCTTGGGCTTTTCAGGGAAAGGAGATTAAAAAGAGTTAGGTCTGTCTCCTGTCTCGCCTAGTGAAGCTAAAGCTGAGGACATACGTGGTTACTTTCCTCTGTATTTATAGAAAGCAAACACCTGAGAGCAAGGAGAGCAGTTCCAGCTGGAAGACAAGGCTTAGCAGGTGACGGATGGAAAACAGGAGCGAGCCTAGGTAGTTTCTAGCCAGCAGAGGAGGAGGTGTGTGGCTGAAGAGTGAATTACATCCGAGCGGGAGCTCGGTCAGTGTGTGTGAGGGATTGGGCGATGCTGGCGGGCGATGGTGCCGCTCATCCCACATTCCCGTGCCGCCTGCCATCTCCAGCCGCGCCTGGGCACAGCGGGGGGAGGCAGCGCAGGAATGTTTGCTTATTAGCTCGTTGCCAAACGAGCCAGCAGGAGTAACGCACGCAGGTCAGCGAAACGCCTGGTGAAAATCTCCCTGAGAATGAGCTTAGAGCTGGTGCGGTGAGGTGGAGAAGGAAATCCTGCCTACCCTGCCTGCAGCGACTAGGGAAGTCTAAAGGAGGGAGGTGTCTGCCAAAGCAGCTCATGATTTTGGCCAGAGCAACCATTTAATTAAAGGAGCACTGGAAAGGAAGCCGGAAACCCAAGAAACAGGTTTTTAATCACTTGGACTTCGGTGGACCATCTCTATGCAAATCACGCCCGCAGCATCACTGCTGTTTGCATGGGTGTGTGTCCCTGTCCCCACGGACAGGACAGGCTGCGGGCAAAAACCCTGCTGGCCGCTGACAAGTGTCACCTTGGCCACTTTGTTTGGCCTCTGGAGGGACATGAAGTTGCTTCCCTTCTGTGGATGTGAGGCCCTGGGAGGCTTCTCAGTGGTGGATGTCTCCTTGGAGGGCTGCACCATGGCAAAAACATGGTCAGCACACACGGGGAGGGGAGCGGAGGTCCTGTCCGTCAGCGGGGATATTGCTGATGGAATATAGATGTAGGATCCCCATAAGTACAACAGCTGAAGCAATGATCTGCCTTTCAGGGCACCCCTGCAAGTTTCCCAGGGGACCCATGCCAGGTCCCGGGCAGAGGATGCTCGATGTTTGCAGAGATTCCTCCAGTTTGCTGTTTTCCCTAAGATTTCTGAGCGAAGAGACTCTCTTCTGAAAACACCTTTGGTTTAGGCTTCTTTTTTTTTGGTCCCTTCTCGGTTTTCTCTTCCCGTGGCACAGCAGAGTTCAAGGATTATTCCTCACCAGCCGATTTCCGAGGCCCTTCGGGGTACGGCGGGGCATGGTCCGCCATTCCGGGAGGAGGAGGAGGAGGAGAAGGAGGAGGAGGAAGGGGCGGTGCCGGGGCCATCCCCGGTTGCCGCGGCCATCCCCGGGCGCCGCATCGCTGCGTGCGCCGAGCCGCCCGCACCCGCCGGCACGATGATCGCCGCCCAGCTCCTGGCCTACTACTTCACGGAGCTGAAGGAGGACCAGGTCAAAAAGGTAGGTTGGAAACCCCCCTGCTCTCACCCTTCCTCTTCCGCCGGGCCAGATCGCTTTTTAAAAAAATTAAATTTTATTTTATTCATTTTTTTTTTTTTAAATCTCCTGATGGTTTTGTTGCTTTTGTCTCCTGCTGCGGGAGAACGGGGGAATAAACCCGTGTTTAAGCCCAGCCGAACCGACCTCCAAAGCATCCCCGGTGCGGAGGCTGCCGGGCGTGGGTGGTGCACGGCGGGGCAGGGAGCTGGGAAAAGGGAGGCAGGAGCTGGGGAGGCTTTGGCAATGGGGGTGGTGGTGATGATTATCCATTCCCGGCTTTCCGGAGGCACCAGAATCCCTGGAGTAGGGACTTCCCCTTCTTCCCCAGGGCGCCTGTCACGCCAGCACAGGGGTGATGAGGACGCAGAGCAGGTCGGTTTTGAATGATGTGTCACCGCAGCTGCTGAATTTACAGGAAGTGGTTGTCAGTTGGGCTTCAGAAGAAGAAGTGCTTCTGTGGGCTTCTTTTATTTTCCTTTAGCATTAGACGACGGCTGCTGTGTGGTTGGTGTGGCCCTGTGATTTAGCACTGCCACAAGGAAATGGGTGCAGAGCACAGGATAAATAAAAATATGGCAGTTAGTTCCTGACTGAGCATATTGCAGAGCTGTAGGGAGCAGAGAGCCTGGGGCTAGGGATGCGGGGAGGCAAATTATGAAAATAATTGCAAATATCACTGAGCTTTGTCACAGAGCCGGGTTGACGTCAGGGAGCAGAGGCTTCCCCTCTACCACCTCCTCTGGTGCAGCCTGACCTGCAGATGCCTGAGGGCATCCCTGAGGTATTTTGGGAAGCCTCAAGTGTTAATAGGACTGATTTGTAGTGGTCTCAGGGCTTGTTCTGGCAGGAGGAGAGCACGTCCTTCCTTTGGGTTCCTGGCTGTGCCTGGGTTGACCTTATCTCTGTGTGGGGCTGACTTGTCCTGCCCCACTCAAGACAAGCTGGCCCTGCCTGCTCCTCTGTTGGATAACAGAGACAGCACCCCATATTTTCCAGAGCTCCTCCTGTGGTTCAGATCTTTCTCCTCTCCACCCAGTGTGTTTCACAAGGATCTGAAGGCCGTGCGCAGCTTTCTGCACCTACTGGCCCCACGGATCTGCCTCTCCCTTTTTCCCAGGCCCCTCATTTTCCTATTCCTGGAGGATTTTTAAGTGCTGCTGCTGGCGCCAGGCGTGCATGCCTGGGTAAGGCCTTCTCTGTCTCGCCGTGCCTGTTATATTTAGAAAGCCAAGATAAGCACAAGGCTGAGGAGCAGCAGAAGGGCTGCGTGGGGAAGGCTGGGTGGGAGCAGTGCAGGCAGCAGGGAAGCTCTGTGGTGTTCCCGGGGGTTATTTATTGCAGGCTGGTTTCAGCACCATGAGGCTGCTATTGTCTGACTGCCCGGGGAAGTTGTTTGGCTGGGGGAGCTGCGGGGCATTGTTAGGGACCGATCTGGTTTTGTCTGAAACAGAACATTGAAAAAAAAAAAAAAAAAAAACCAATTAAAAAAACCCAAAAACAAAAAACAACAAACAAAAAAAAAACCCTCA